ATCTGACAGACAAGCAATTTGTGGAGCAGTAAAAGATAAATCCCTCATTGTGGAGTTAACCATTAGTTACAGTGTTTACCCTGCCCTTAGCCCAGTGCCTTGACCCACTTATTTCCCAGCTCCACCCTGCACCAGGATACCCCTTCACATCTGCCAAATCCCTTCAGAAATTATCTCCCATTGTCCAACCCATGATCTGACAGCTTGTATCTGAAACTTTCTTGGCTTCTGTGATTCCAAACACGTCAACTGCTGACAAAACTCCTCCCTTCTTTTCCTCTTAATTCTGAGACTTAACGTCCCAGAGTAGGCAGATGTCAGTCTTCAAGTTCACTGGCATAATTACTGTGTATTGGAGAAACAGTCCCCTTTTGCAACTGTTGTTGTTTTATGCTATCAAGTTGAACCTGATAAATAGCTAACCCTCCAGTGGATTTTCAAAAACAGTTTAGTCACATGGTTGGAGATTGCCCATCTTGCTCCTGTGGCACAACTGGGTGAATTTGAACCACGTACCTTCATGGTTGTTATTGCAGCTCATTACCACTAGGTCAGTAGAGCTCTCCTTTTGGAACTAAGATCCCCTAAATCATGAGACCATAATGTTGCAAGAAGAAGGAAAAATTTTCTTGTGAATCTGTAGGGATAATAGGGAATGTTACTACTTCCATTTCTAGCCCTTGATTCCTGGACCTCTGAATCCTGGCTATGGATATTGCAATGCACATCCATATTTAGGGTGAGTGTCTAATCCAAATAAGAACAAAATGTTGCTCTTTCCCTGATAGAAGTGGTCCAGTGTAATCACCCTGCCATTGAGTTGTTAGCTGATCACCCAACGGTATGGTGCATATCCAGAACTCATTGTTGGTCTCTGCTGCTGGCAGAGTTGGCACTTAACAGATTCGGCTTGTTCAGTAGATATCCACGTTACTGAGCCAATGTATAATTTTTATTCCTATCGCAATTACTACTTTGTTCATGAGCCCATTGAGGAATGATTGGTAAAAGAACATGACTGTTTTCCACAGAATAGAGTAACGTTTTCTTATGCAATAACCTGTTATTGTGTACTGTCAAGTCAAAACTGACCCACAGCTGACCCTCCAGCAAGTTTTCAAAGGCAGTTAATCAAACAATAGGAAATTGCCCATCTTTCTCCTGTGTTGCAGTTGGTGCATTCAATTTGTGTGTTTTCAGGATTGTAGTGCAGCTTCTTATCACTAGGCCACCGGAGCTCCCCAGAATACTTGCTTATTTAAATCCTCCTCTCCTGAGGTAAGCCTTAGTGAACATTGA